GTCAGTGTAGAAAGTTCAGTAAAGTAATACTTACATATTTCACTCCCCCAAGTAGTTGTGGAAACCGTTTCACGCTCTTTAAAAGTAGTAATATAGGCTGGAAAGTTATCAAAATTGCGCTGACATCAACCAAGTTTTAGGCGGAAATGAAAGTGTACGGTGATACTGTCAGGTTACGTATTGGTATCCACTCCTTTTGTCACGGTGTTGGTGAACTGCTTTTTGGGAGCCTAGGTCCAGTTGCATAAACAACAACAACAAAAAACTAGCTACAAATGCAAGAGCCTATTGACTAGCCTTTCACACGGACATTATTTTGGCTCGTCACGCAAAAGTGTGACGAAGCCCTATGGAGAACGTCTGCGTGGTGACTGACCAGCAACGAGAATGTTTCCAGGAGCCCATCCGAGTTTCACACGGGAAGGGTACTCCCTAAAATGGCCTATACGGGGAGGCTCCTTTCGAAAGGGGTACCTCATTCAGGCAGGCATCAGGTAAAAGAAAAGGATAGGATTTTACTAGTTGATGATGAAAGGGTAGAGAAATCGAAATCTGTCATTTCGGTCTGGAAAAAGGCCAAAGAGGGCTTACAAGATGCATTTTATAACTATGAAAAAGTGGAGGAACCTGGGAGGAAACGTTCTGGTTTTGTGACGTATTCTTCATATTTTAACTGACAGCAGTTAAAAGGAAAGCAAAGTTCTAAACTAGGTAGGTGAAAGTGGTAAAATTTGTCAGTGGAAGGTATGCGAAAGGGGTACTTTTTCTGTCAAAAATGGTATATAAAAGGGTTATGCATCAGTCAATTCCACCTGCGCCCCCCCCCCCCTCCGGGCTGACCCCCGTGCATAAGCATTTTTTGGCCTTGGATGGCAAATTCCCGGGGGTGGGAACTCTTGAGCTGTCAAATCCCCCGTGGTGGGGACAAAAAAAATGCCCCGTCCCCCGTCAACACTGCAACATTTTTCATTGATCACACAGTCGAATAGTGTCATTTTAAGCATTTTAATGTGCGATTTTTTGTTTCAATTAACGTCTTCCTTTGTAATAGCGCTAGGATTCACGCTGCGACGACATGCGCCAGTTTATGGTTTTAGTATTGATATAAAATTATTGACATTAACATTAATATTCATAGAGCGCTTTAAAGTTATATGTTATGAATAGTTAAATTATAAATATGAAAGGGTGTTCTTCAAATAATATCAACAGAAATTTGATTCAATAACCAAAAAACGTTGATTCACATCGATAGCTCCAATTTCGCTATGTAATTCTGGCTTGATAAGCAATGAAGAAATGCATGCATAAAATCGAGAACTAGCCTGCGAGCAAGCTCTCCTATTTGGGCGAAAGAATCCCTGTTTGTAAAAACCCTTAGTTGTAAGAACTATTGGTTGTAAAAACCCCTGGTTGTAAGAATCCTTGGTTGAAAGAAATCCTGGATGTAAGACTGTTGGAAGTAACACCCCTGTACGTAAGGCACCTGGATGCAAAACCCCCTTATGTAAGTCCCATTGTCGCAAGACCCCTGGATTTACAACCCCTTTATGTAGGAGCCCTGGACGTAAGCCCCCTGAATTTAAGAACCTTGGATGCAAAACCCCTGAACGCAAGATCCATGGTCGTAGACCCCCTGGATGTAAGACCCCTGAATGTAAGACTCCTAGACTCCAAAAACAAAACCAACATGGTACTGTATTGGTTTATTTAATAACCGACTCCACCCTTATCGAATGGCTTGGTTACAGTATTCACTCACTGCAAGGAATGTCCTAGCAGGCAATTAAATAATACAAAAGGTTTCAATGTGGTGATAATATTACTATAATAAATAGAACTGATAATAGGGAGCTTAAGCAAAGGCGTTTTTGAGCAACTTACGTAAACCGGAAGTGAACTCTTTTTCTCTTAACATGCCATGCCGCTGACGAAAAGTCCACTTCCGGTTGATGCGAGTTGCTCAAAAACGTCTTTGCTGAGGTCCCTAATGTGTTTCTGTTGTTGCGCGACATAAGCGTTTAATTAAGCATCACGTTTACGTACCCCTCCATTTAACACGTCCGCAGTTTGTAGTTTGCAATGCGAAGAAAACGTACAAAGTACAAACAAGTTCTTGAAAAAATGCATTTCTGATTTGCTTATTGTTCTGGGATACATTAGCAATGGTATTGTGATCTATTGTCATCTGATCTGCCGATTGCCGTTTGTTATGAACATGATGCTTAATTAACCTCGCTACCATCATCTTAGCATGATGGGTATCTTCTGCGGGACTTTGAACAAAACATAAGATGAAAAAGGAAAACTCTCAGAAAATTTGGCCTCAGAAAAACGTAGCTAATGACAGCCTAGCACGGCGGACGTAATATCATCCATATTCATTTAAAAGAGACGACAGTTGCACTCTCATCGAGCAAAACAGAAACAGTGTATTGGTCACTGAAAATTATGACCGTCAATAGCGGTTCCAATAACAGGATCTCTAAATAAATGGTAAATTTAAAAAAATTTTTCTACACATGATACACCTAACCTCATTCTGACAAAGTTTAGTTTCCTACCCCGTGGGTACTCAACAAAGTTTTATACGGAGAGGTTCCGCCTCAAGGTCCAAACCCTTACGTTTCTAAATACCAATTCTGACGGAATAGGTTCCCCTTTTGTATACCTTCTTTTGACATATGGCATCCCTTTCACATAGCTAGTTTGGAACTATGCATCCCCTTTAACTGCTGTTAATACAATCTCTTTAAAACATGAATAAATAACACAACCAGAACATTTTATCGACCTTTTCACAGACATAAAATGCATTTGTTAGGCGTTTTGGTCTTTTTACAGACCGAAAAGACAGATTTCGCTGCCCTTTCATATACTTCAACTAGTGAAATCCCTACCCTTTATGTACCAGAAACCTGAAAAAGGTACCCCTTTCGTGCGGAGCCTCCCCGCATATGCTATTATAGGGAGTACCCCACGGGTTCCTACCACACGGGCATGTAGCTATACATCACCATTCTAGTCCAGGCATTCTCAGCTCCGCTAAAAACGGACCCTTTCGTACCTCATTAAAAGTTAACGCCAAAAAAGACTCTTTTCGCTCTCTCTTTCCATAAACCTTTGCGCGGACAACGGGACAAGAGAGAAAGCCTGGGGAAACTAGGATGAAACTGACTGAGGAAATTCCTAAAGGCAAAAAGACTCTGATATGTGATATGTTGGCATCAGTTCTTGTATTCATAAATAATTTCTGAATGCACTGGAGATTATTTTTATATCGTTTAATACTATATACAACTAACACAGACAACACACTGGGCTAAGAGGTGTAGGGAATTTTCACAGGAACGCATGGGTTGATATACTTGATGCGACATTTAAGTCACAACTGCAAAACATTGTTCTCATTTAACGGATCGCTTTTTGCTGATGGCTGTCACCTGTCACGTGATGCCTGAAAGGAAAGGGCATGCGATAGACTGCGAAGAGTCTCTCTTTTTCCTCAGATTTAGTGAGGTTAGCACACGCGCGCGCGCAAGCGGTGAACGGCGAAGCCGCGAGACTTGAGGTACGAGGCTATACCTCTGGCGCATCCAGTCACGCGCGTGGTCATGTTCGTGTCTCGCGCCTTACGTTTGATGAACTAAGAAAAAAAAGAGACTGTTCGTAGTCTGGACAGGTGAGGTCATGCGAGCATTTCTCTTTTCAATATCATGCAAGTTTTATGATTAGCGCAAAAATACAGCTATTTTGCAGTCTACCGACATACTGTTCAGTTCAGTTCAGTGCATGGAAATTATAATGACTTGGAGTTGCCAGTTCTACTTTTGTTCCCTTGATTATTTTAATTATAGTAACAAATCCATGCAGGAATTAGGGGAGCAATTGCATGATTATACTTGCTATACTTCTATTATAAATTAATTTAATAAATTATCAATTTTAAAGATATTTATAAGGTAATTGTCGTCGAAGACGACGTGTAAAATAAGTTACTTCTTCTCTGTGTTGCAATCGTGACTTGTGGCTGCAAAGTTCATTATGAATGAAGTAATGTATTCGTTTGTTTGTGAACGAATGTGATTCCTCTAGGTATTAGGAGTTGTCCTTCGATCTACAAAATAATGACATTTAAATGCAAGTAAGCTACTTTAACATGGTTACGTATTTTGCACACAGTTACGTAATTTGCAAAAACCTCGACAAAATGCAATGATTTTACAATCGTTAGGAACGAGTTGCTAGAAGCCCAGGTTAGCCTGCTAGCAAGCTCTCCATGTATGGCGAGAAAAGCGAACCGCAAGAGAGCAAGCGAGCGAGCCCCTCGACTCACGTCTCATTTTGCGTCCTGCTCTCGCGTGACTTCTCGCGACTACCCCCCGCCCGGGTAACCTTTCTTTCGCCCGGGTAATCTGGGTTAACTGCAAAGAGAGAATATGGGTTAACATGGTGACCACAGACATGGCAAACACACTATCTGAGCGCTTGTTAAAAAGTAGTACAGCTACTAGTACTGCGTGACTGAAGATTGATAGTGTTCGACCATGTAAATCTTATCACGATGCTTACCTTTGCTATATTTTTTATTCTGAGGTTTTGAAGGGCTGTGAGCTTGTTTTACGATCCTGTCTAAGCCGTCACTAAAGGCAGGGTTAAGACAAGACCGCAAAAATAGAGAAGATAAGGTGAGTACTTTTCTATATTTTTTACTTTTTCCACATGAACCCTAAAAGCAAATCGTTGCTTTACGCAGTATTGCTAGTATAGATGCACCAATTTCAAAAAAACGCCATCATAGTGAGTTTGGGATGACAGCTTCTTTCAATACTTCACAACACAACATCAACTTGTGATGTAACTTTCGATAACTTCCTTGAAAAACATTCAGGTCAGCGGTTAACATTATTCCGTCTCAGGCCTTTTCAAACGACCACAGACGAAAACACCGAGAAACCGGAAGAAATAGAACAATGGTAAGAAGAGGACGTATATTGACGTCCTTGAAATTCAACGCGGTATAAATACCTGTTGGATGCCTTTTGTATGTATCGCGCCTCCTGTCGCTTGCTGAGTCTCTGTTCTCTCCGCCTCTGCGTGGACCGACGTCGTTCCCGGTAACTTCTGAATGTATTTTGAATGATGGCTGCCGCTCGTCTGCTTTTCTTGAACCTCTCGTGCTCACGGTGAGTGCGATATTGGTTTTGGATGATTAGGGCTGCGCGTGTCATCTTTTTAAACGCGATGTACTAGGAAAAACAAAAAACATGTACTACTTAGGTAGGGTTCACGCTTGCTGCCAGGGCACGGTGCCCGAGTAGAGCATAACCTTTGCAATAATGTGAACACACCGTTTCTTCAAGTACCCACTCGAGAATTGAGGCAAGATATGGGTGCCACAGTGTAGGGTCGGGACAAGAAGTGGGTTCCTGAGTATACTATGTACACGTTTTCTTTTAGGTCAGAGGTAACCTATGGTTTTGCATACCCATAGCTTCCCGCAACGTTAATAACGACAGCTCTCACGTTTTCCCGCCAAAATGACGTTGGTTCACGCGCGTGCACTACTTAATACTGAGAAAATCTCGTACTCGTAGTCATCCTCGTCTCAGAGTGTAAAGCTCTCTACTATATCCAGGCAATAGCCGTGCAATTCAAAGTTGTTCAGGTTTGGGAAAGTAAAGGGTGAACAGAGCTTTAGAAGGACGATTACCTCTTTATATCTTCGATAATGATGTTGAATCAAGATAGCCGCCTCTATTTCTTGTTCCTGTTGATGACGTCTTGTCTACAAAGAACAAGAATTTACAAAAAGAGAGGCCAGTAAAACATTTGTTGTAGTTGTTACGGTGCGCGAGGGGGTGGGGAAGGAGGTGTTGCTAGAGATACCTAGTCCTAAACCTCCCGACCCTCATTCCCTCATGCTTTGGAGTGACACTTTAGCCTGGGACCAGGCTCCGCAGTGGCAAAAAGGCAAAAACATCAGCCAGCGAAGGGGTTGTGGTGATGAGTGGGAGGGAGGGGGGGGGGCAGATGGGGTAAACTGAGTTTACCTTGTAGTTCCTGTAAGCACTTTGAATTATCTTTGCAGCTTCATATAGTTCCCATTGCTCACGATCTGTTAGCGTGAGATCAGACAAATCTCTTTCCAGAAGTTTACGAGAACTGTAAATAAACTCCTGGAATTCTGTTGTGTCCGGTCCGACGGGTGAAGAATGGGGCGAGTTTAGAAAGCCGGGAGAGCCTGGAGAGAGTGAAGATTTGGAAGAGCAAGGCGTCAGAGGGGAGGACTGGGAGGAAGCCGAACTGAAGGTGCGCAGTCTCATAGCGGAGCTCCAAGAACCAGTAACAAGTTCGGTATTTTCGTGAAGTGGTGATAAATGCCCTGGTATACGATGACCGAGTTCGGCTTCTTGTTCGGCTTCGCTGATCATGGAGTGAATATGTACTAAAGTTTTAGCCAAAGTGTTCCCTGGCTTTTTCGAAAACTGTGGTTCCATCTCATCTTCATCAACAAACATCGGTGAGCCCGCTCGCTCCTCCATGGTGGTGTCCACAGGAGGTGCCAAAAGGACACGAGATTGAGGGGCCAAGGCAGAAGGTTGAGGAGAGCTCTCGCAAGATGAGGCCATTGGTGATGAGGTGACGTCTGAATCATGGCCCACACCGAGAAAAATGTGCCTATAGAGAAATAAAATGAACGCACGAAATATTAACAACAGTAATTTAAAGTGCATACGAAGCCAAGTTTCACTACCAACTTGGACGAAAACAAAAGCTAATTAAACAACTCGTTCTATGAGCTTCACGATATCTCTAAAAATTCCCTTGACTATACGCACTTTAAGTCAACTACATGTAATTCTCATGTCCGTAGATATAGACTCAATCAACCATTGTTATCTTTTTCTAGAAGCGGTGGAAGAATTTGGAACAAAATTCCTCTTAAGTCACGCGAACAAGGGAAAAGACCCTTTCAAGCGTAAATTACATAAGTTACTGCTCAAGGTTTTTGATTCTGAGAAGGTGTATGTTGATATGAGTGCTATTACCAGTTCCTACCTGAACTCCGTATTCAGTTAATGTGTTTTCTTTCCTTCTATCCATAGTTTTCTTTTACCATCGTACTTAGTTTTAGTTTTACCATTTACTACTATTCTTTCTATTTGTGCTACATTTTTATGCTTTCTCCGAGTTCACTTTCTTTTTCCCCGGCTTTTGCACTTTGTATTTATTTATAGGAGACTATTACTGTATTGTTTCCCACTGAGAATAGCTTCGCTAATCGTGGGTACCATAACTGTAAAATATTTTTATATTGAATAAACTACTGTTGTTGTTTGTGATAGCTAACTTTGTGATACTCTCACTCGTATACTTGGTTGAGGTTTTTTTTTCTAATAAACCCACCTGTTTGGAAAAGATGTGACAGAATCCTCAATAATGTCCACTACATCCAGGAAACCTCGATCTCTTGCCAGCTGCAGTGGCATACGCCCGCGAGCATCGGGCTCTAGTAACGCTTTGGGCTCTGTCTCTAACAACATGAGTGCCGCGTCTGTCCATCCCAATGCGCATGCCCATGTTAGAGGCGTACACGCAAACTCGTCCTTTCTGAGAGGGTTTAATTCGTCTCTTACTAGCGCGCTTTGGCTTTCACGCCAAAACTTGAGCAGGGTACAAACGAGTCTGTTATAACCAAGGGCAGCGGATAAATGAAGCAGTGTCATGCCTCGAAATGGCTTCTCGATCTTTGTTAGATTTCTAATGGGACAATTGGAGCGATGAAAAATCTCGCAAGCAGCGATGAGGCGATCTTCGAATGTCATGCACTGATTTCCTTGAGATTGATTCTCGGAATTGTTTGTCTGGCTTGCATTGAGTCTAGACTCCAGTCTCTCCAAGCGATCCAGTAAAGCAAGTTTAAACCGGTCGTTATCAGTGGTAAGCCACTCGTGACAGCCGGAGCTGCCCGCCGGCGAATCACGTGCACGGTATTCAAACACGCAGGCGTTGCTAACGATAAATCCATTACAAGCCACCTGAAGGGTGACCAGGCCTGGGTCATGTGACGGACAAAAGCATCTCAAAACGCCTGCTTGGTACAAGATCGCAGGCACGCTACAACCGTCAAATAAACACGTGTAGACGCCCTGCTCGGTCCTCCATTCACCAGTAATGAGCACTTTAGCTCCGCCCTCGGGATAACACCACTCGGGTGAAAAATCCGTAATGCGCGCAGAGCCTGGTACGACATGATTTCGTGGATGCGGAGAGGAGGTGAAAGTCGTGGTTTCTCCAGCATCAATCGGCCGTGAAGTGTTGTTGTTTATGTCACTTGATAAGGACTGATGGTTTGAGTTTGGCTTGGCAGATGAGCCATGAGCAACTTGGTTTGATGTAGGCTGTGAAACCACCGGAGTCATACATATGTCGGGCACAGTAACTTCACTGCCCTCCCGCTGGCCTCCAGCAAGAGACTGGGTGCTAGCCCTACAAACCGATACCCCGGATGATGACGAAGACGTGTTATTTGAAACGCTGACAAAACATGACGTCACAACGGTGTTTCTTACCGGACTGACAGGTTTCACGAACACGTACGAAGTTGTCGATGACAAACCGGAAGTGGTGACGTGGAAAGTCCCTGGTGGTTGACTGACTAAACTGTCTGCAGAGAACGAATTCAGCGTGAGTGATGACGATTGCGTTGATGTATTTGAAGCTGTGGAATAAGTAGGATGGAGATTTTCGCCGACGGACGTTGCAGGAACGTTTTCGCTTTGTTTCGGCGGTGAGTTAAGGCACTCCGGTATCACGTTACTCAGATTACAATCGAACATGTCATCAAAACCGAGCAACTCAAGAGGTGAAAAGTCCGTCGTATCAACTGGCACATCGTTGCCACTAGACTGGGATGCCCCGGGGCTGCAATCAGCCAGCCAACACATCCCTTGCGACAACCCCTGGTCACTTTTTGCTGAATCAGTGAAATTTAGCGGACAATCTCGGGTTACCGGAAGAGGTAAGCGAAACGGGCCGTCAAACATAGCTTGGTCGGAGTCGGGGAAACTCTGAGCACTTAGTCCACCGCTCAAAGAGTCGGATCCTGAGAAGCTAAGCCGGGTGCCGGCATCAGACATATAACTGCCATAGTCGCTAGACGGACTGCTACTTAAGTCCGTCACACGTGGGTGAACAAAGACTGAATTCCACTGAATTCCAGAGTTAGGAGACGTCTCTCGAGAGAGCGGATTAATTGAAATAGCGTTTGACGCATGATTTTGTTGAGAAAACTGAGAATTTGATGCCGTAGTTACAGTTGTAGTGCTGACCGTATTCTGAACCGGACATGATAAAGCCGACACTGGTGGATTCGTTACCATAGGAACGGCAGAAAGTATGGATACGTCTCTAGGAGACTGCTGGTTAAAGAAATTCTGCGCGCAGGTGGCAAACACGTGATTATCACGTGTGCTTGCTGAGGTAACTACTGACTGGCACAAGCTTTGACCGCGTTCGTGTATTCTCCAAGAATCGTTGCCTTCATGAGAAGAATTGTCTTCGTCTAAGGAAGGTGACCCCTCCCTATGACCCGTCACAGTTAAGCGTCCTTGCTCATTTCTGGTGACTTTCATCACCTTTAGGCTTAATTTATCATTTTGTGGCACGGCTTGTAGGCTTTTATTTGGAGAAATGGAGATCTTGTAGATGGCCTTGTTTCGTTTCTGTTGTTGTTTGCCTTTGGTAGACGAAGTGTCGCCCTCCTCTGATGAAGATGGTGAGGCAGGGGGGCTCTCCTCGGAAACCTGCGAAAGATAAACATTGTGCAATTTTACATTCAAGACAAGCAAGCGAAACGTCGAGAAAATTAAAATACCTTATTGGTACTTAATTTTGCGGGTCTTTAATTTAACGCTTTTCGCAATTGTAAAGAAAATTAAATACCCCCGTAAAATTCCGAAAATAAGCCCCTCCATGTATAAGCCCCCCAAACCGGTAACGCAAAAAACCCTCCGTTAAATCGCCCCTCCAAATATAAGCCCCCCGGGGGCTTTTACTTGGAAAATTGCCCTCAAATACAAAGTAAAACAAAGCAAAAACGGTAAATTTACTTCCAACTATAGGGCTAGATACATAGAAAGATACTTTATTATAAACACCATTGCAGCCATAGGCTGAATTACGGGATATTTACAAATACTGATGATAACAAAGAGAAAATAAGAAAAATTATCTACATCTTATAGACATGGCTAAAAAAAACCCTTTTCTTCAAACGCTCGGTTTTACATAGGGGGAGAGTGAAATCACTTTTGCGTCTCAGAGCATATTTACAACTCTTCCTTTGGGGGAGGAGGCTATGGAGACTGTGGGTGGGGTTACAGACGATCTCGTCAAACAGATCGATTGAAATCTTTTCTCTCTTCTCATGAAGTTTCGGTAGGCCAAATGTTTCTAGTGCTACACTATATGACAGGTCAGGATAGATGATTCTGAAAGCCCTTCTTTGGATCCGTTCCAAATCTTCACTGATGTAGTTTGATAGAGAACGATGGAATACAGGACTTGCGTATTCCAGGGATTCGTGGAACGGGGAGTTGAGGATCGCAGAGACTGGACCCGCCAAGAGATCAGCGTTTTCTTTTAATAACCATGCCGGGATACCGTCTGGCTCGTGTACTTTGGAGGGGTTGAGTGCAGGCAGTTTCATACACGTTGAAAACTCCGATATCATATTTACGGCATGACTTTCGTTGTTGGCTTGCTAGCCCAATCGATTTTGAGACGCAAATTTCCCTCCGTAGATAAGCCCCTCCAAAAGGGCCTTTGAAAAATATAAGCCCCGGGGCTTACTTTCTGAATTTTACACCTCAATGGTACTAAATTTCGCGGGTCTTTAATTTCGCACTTTTCGCAATAATTTAATTGTAAAAAAATTGCGAAATTAAAGACCCGCGAAATTTAGTTCAAATAAGGTATTTTAATTTTCTCGACGCTTTGCTTGCTTTTTCCACGAGGTTTCCAACCAAGATGGAAAATCACGAAAATTCCAGGAGGTAGGGGGTACGACTAGCACCCCATGGAATGGAAATCTCAAGGGGGTGTGGGGACTAAAGCAAAAGTGCCCTCCGTCAGGGGGGTATGGATATTTTTAGGAACTACACATTGGCCAACAAACCGGATATATTACTGTTTGATAACAGCCATATTGGCTGGTTCTGGGATTGGAAATACTTACCGTGACTTCAGGCTTGACATCCTGAGAAACACCCGAATCTAAGGAAATAAACAAATTTTACTCACTTTTTTCCGAGCTGGCTAGATAATCATCCTTAAATTTTCAGTTTAATAGCAGCCGTTATTGGAGTGGCTAGAACAGCATTCAATCTCTAGGGTAATTACCGAACTAAAATGGCCATGAAAGTTTTTATCAAAATTTTATGACTGATTCGAGTAATGAAGCAACTCATAAAGAAACCTTTTCAGATTTCAAATGCAACAGCAGGAGAAGTCGATAAAACCTGTACATGAAAACAGTGCTGTCTTAATGTTTTACAAGGAGACAAATAATTACAATTAAACTAGTAATAACAAAAGGTTACGGAGTGCGGGCGACAACGATCGAGGGTCAAAACGCTTTTTCTCCAGCGCTGTGCTTTGCGTACGCGTGATCAGATAACGAGTGAAAGAATTTCCAAACGCGCGTGATCAAAGTGCGTCCTGTGCATTACATTCGTTCTTAGTGGAAGTCCAAACGAATGCTGACTACATACATGCCACGCATGCGTAACAAAAACCTGGACATTAGGATTCCGGGCTTCTCTTGTCGCCCGCAAATACGAAAGAAAGAAGACAGAGTCTGTTCGCAGTCACACTATTTTCTTTTAAAAGCTCGAGGGTACAAATGAAAAAAAGGATGAACCCTTCCCCTACTACATTCCATACAAACAAAGGAGCTAACCCAACTCCCATCTGTTACATGCACTTTAAAATCCAACAATCGGTCACAGGTACCACAACCACAATAGTCTATGAATTGACTGATGCATATTCAGAGCACATACTTACAGATGGCTTTCAGCTGCTGTGAAATATCATCATGGCTATCTGGTGACATGTATACTGACACTGTAATGGGCTTGCTGCATTCTTCAACTAGGTTCAGGTAATGCACCAACACAATCTGAGGATTCTACAACACATACACAATTTTCGACATTATTAATAACCCTAAACCAAAAATTCCAAATTTCTAAAATTGTAAAATCCTTAAAATTAAATAGCACCATGTAAAAGTTCACCTCAACAGGATTCATTTGAATGGCAACACCATAGGATTTCATCCACAGACTCAAAAGTTAGAACTACATACTAAATAAAATAGTACCATGTGAAAGTACTGTTGAAGAGGTTTCATTTGAATGGCAACACCATAGGATTTCATCCACAGACTCAAAAGTTAGAACTACATACTAAATAAAATAGTACGATGTGAAAGTACTGCTGAAGAGGTTTCATTTGAATGGTAACACCATAGGATTTCATCCACAAATTCAAAAGTTAGAACTACATACTAAATAAACAGTACCATGTGAAAGTACTGCTGAAGAGGTTTCATTTGAATGGTCACACCATAGGATTTCATCCACAGACTCAAAAGTTAGTACTACATACTTAACAAAATCTTTAGTACCATGTGAAAGTACTGCTAAAGAGAATTCATTTAAATGGTAACATCATTGGATTTCATCCACGGGTTTAAAAGTAAGAGGGACAAATAAAAGACCCACTCATCCTGTTGTGACTTTAACCCTTTTTGAGTGACAAAAGTGACCAACATCAATTTTCACCTCACAATATTCATACATCATGAACAGAAAAGGTTAGAAGAATTAATAATATCATCACCACAGGAAAAAAACGATTTGATGTTTTACTAAACTCTCTCAATTTATTCTCTAAGGAAATGCATGAAAATAGATCAGGAGAATTTGTATGTGGATATTAGGGCTTAAAAATTTTAAACAAGTGAAATACCTGAAGCAGCCAATAGCAGCGGCGATGAAATGTGGGCACCAGAGCTGAATGTGTGTATAGTACACTCAAACACTACAAGAGAAAACAACACAGACTGAAATAGCTCCCAACAAATCCTCAAAATTCCAATAATCTAATCTTTAACACCACCATATTCCATTTTGTCTTGTGACTAACAGAAGATTCAGCTCTTAATATTGAAAGAACATGGCAAAATTTCCTCTCCAACTCTAAAACTTTCACTCTACATGTAAAACCGACACCAAACATTTTTTCAAATGTGCAGCATTATTGATGACAACCTCCTAGTTCTGCACAATTTTTAATATATGATACAAAAGGCAAATCCAATACTTTCCCTGTAAAGTTGAAAACGTTTGCCTTTTCCTTAGTAGTTTTTTGGTTGTTTATTTTTTTTAGCAGATATTATTGGATAAATTTCGGCTTCGGGAAACTGCCCACGTACCCCTCCCCTAAGCCATCATTTTGCCCTAAGTGGGAAGTAAGTGATAATTTTAGGTTATGGGAGGGGTAGGTGGGCAGTTTCCCAGAAACCTAAATTGCTCCATGTTATTCATATAGCAGTTGGTATCCACTTCATGGTATTTTTTTCTACCTTCCAATGTTTCTGACGCAGTAGTTTAACTATTACCTCAATTCCTTCAACTTTCAGTCGAGTGTGATCTTCTCGGATTGTGTTTCCTGATCTTCTTTTCTTCCATGTGTAGCCATCTTTGCGATAATGTTTGACCTAAATATTGAGACAGAATGGTCACAGATCAACAATGTGGCATCAAAACTTTAACCATCACTCCACCCTTCAAGAGATAACCAAATTTCACAAAACACAACGCATAACTAGTGTTGATATGAAGAGATTTTACTTGGGGAGCCCCTGGACCCCCTTTTCTGCCAAACATAGGGGTCATGGAGAATGATCAGGGGACAGAGCTACCCATATAAGTCAAGATACATTGTAAACCACTCAGATAAATAACAAGACCCTTCAATTAATGGTCTTCACTTCGTTAGAACCCCATTTAGGACCTTATGAAAGCTGTTTTGTGTTTCAGTAGCAATAACAAGCCACTACATGTACATGAGCATCAAAGGAAGATGTAAGAAATAAGCGTTGACAGGCCAAACACGACTCATAAGCTCATGATAATGTGAAACGTGACCTTGAGAGTTTGCTTGAACAGTGGTTCTCTTTCTTTTTTCTCTCGCGCGAAGGTTACTAGCACTACACAGTGCAAGACGCGTAGCATTCTAAACTTTGACTGAGTAAATCTTGTTTTTGCCGCACTAAGTCTTATATTTAGAGGTCATGAAGCAGGTTTGTTACATGCATATTGAGTAATCATTTCCTGTGGTTTATGCTTCTGTACTAGGTGTCCCTGGCAGGATTTGATTTCAGATGCAGTTGTTAAGTGTTTTATATCCTTTGACCTCTGTTTATTACGGCTGAATAAAGATTTTAGTTTTTTTGGTTTTCTCCGAAATGGCTGTATCTGAATAACTACATGCATGCATGCAAGTTTCTTTGTCTGTGAATGTGATTATTTCCTGCCATGTCAGTATGACTCTGGCCCCAGCTCTATAGTGTGGTTTGCACGATTTTGAATTTCCACGGATAGTGCGATCTTCAGATATGAGTTGTACACTGTAGCTTAAAAACTAAAGCTACACCAAGTTTGGAGAAATATGCCGTGCGTCAGTCAAGATAATTCTCTTAGCGCTCACACAGTCCATTTAGTTTTTCTTAACATAAGTGAGTCTTGTAGGTATTTTCTCAAGTTTTTGCTTAACAGTCGTCTGTGCGACTGCTATGGATTCTTAAGCAAGACTGCAGTTTCGGAACTATAGCGTTCCTCGTCAGTTGCTACTATGGTAAAGTCTTAGGTACAGAGAGCGAAGCAGACTGTTTAAATGCTGGTGGCTAGGATCGAAAATACTAACTTGCCATTGGCTGCAAAAGTGACCAATAGCGTAGGTGTTTCTTTGATCAGCGTTATGTTGTGTTTCCTTCAAGGTCAAAAATGCTTTTTGGGCTGAACCGGTATGATAGTATCTGACTAGGTTGCAGTGATGGCAGGTCACTGACATGTCGTAGTGCGTGTAAGTGTCTTTCTCAGGAGATTTGAGATATTTTCTCGTAACTTTCTCCGGCAAAATCAGTAGCCCGAGTGAGATTTCTTCCCACGAGTTATGACGGAGCACTGTCTAAAAATATCACGGTAAGAAATAAGCGTTGACAGGCCAAACACGACTCATAAGCTCGTGATAATGTGAAACGTGACCTTGAGAGTCTGCTTGAACAGTGGTTCTCTTTCTTTTTTCTCTCGCGCGAAGGTTACTAGCACTACACAGTGTAAGACGTGTAGCATTCTAACATGTTTTGGGTAAAAAGCTGGAGTCTTTCCTTGTCTGTTTAAGAATGACTCAATTACAATGTACTTCTAAGCCTTTCCCCTGGATAGTACAGGTACAACACTGTATGACCCTCACCTCTTTTCAAGGGGAACAAAATCAAAATAGAACAAAATGAGCTTTTTTGCTGTACAATTGCCCAGCTAATAACTGAATAATACTTGGCAACTTGAATTTTTAGTGACAGCCTTGCATATTAGGGTAATGCCTCGCCATTTTATACTCTATTGGCATGCTAATAACAACACTGCGTTACTTATTTTTACTACGGCTGGATTCAGGGCTGGAAATTTGAGGGGATGAATCTTGTCTCATGATCAGAAAACCAAGTGGGAAAGATGAACCCATCTTTCCTGTCTGCTAAGCTCAACATTGTCACATTTTATTCCCACATTTTATAAATCAACATTTCCAACAAATTTTTGTGACAGCTGGTAAACAAATTATCCTAATAAGCAAGCCCTACAAACCTTGCTCCTGTCAAAAAGAAACATAGATCCATTTTGTGGCCTAAGAGAAATCAAGAGACAAAAATAATAAAAATTTCAGTACCTATGTGTACATATTTTCTTTGTGCAGGTTATGTCACAACCTACAGTGTAATCTGAGCAATATGAATAATTAAACAGTATGCAACTCTAATACTGAGCTGTGTTATTTGCATAATGTTTCTAAATTAATACAGCAGAACCCTGATAACTCGAACTCAGATAACTCGCACTCTCCACCAACTCGAACAAAGTCCAATTTCCCTTAGATTTCAACCCATTTTTCAGTTGTATTTACTTTGTTAATTTGAACTCGGATAACTCTAATTCCCCCCTAACTCGAACTAAATTTCCCCTCCCTTGATCAAAAATTCACTGAAATGTGCCCCGATAACTCGAATTTGATTCTGGTTCTTGTAACTTTACTCAGATGCCATCCCATTAGCTCTTCTTTTTGCATAATGGGTAAAAACACTAAGACTAACACTGGTCACCTACAGTGGTATACATCAATTTGATTTTAATTGTTGCAACAAACAAATCACATTTTCTCATAAAAAAATGCGTAATCATGTTACTGTTTCCGATGAAATACAGTGTAAGTTAAATTTGCACAGCACTATACACTGAAGTGCTGAATAATACATGGCAAATTGAATTTTGCAATCGACCCCATTAACTCGAACCCCCACTAACTTGCACTGTTTTTCATTTCCCTTCAGAGTTACTGGGGGTTCTATTGTATCTGAAACTTAATAAAAATACTTTGTCCCAAAATAATTAGGATTAACTGAGTTCACAGTACAAGGATGATAACTATTCTGTTACTATTTTGTACAAGTAATGTCAACATTAATGAGAGAATCCCCAGAAAATAATATTTTCACACTCTCTTCATTAGGGATTAAAATCTTAACCATAACAAAATTTTAATCTCTGCATGGCCAATAAGGTTGTCTGATAGCAGCAATTAAGTCACCAGAGAAAAATGTCATGCTTTATGCTGTAATCAGGTCTTCTGACAGGGTGCCCAAGCATTCAAGTACATTATGAGGTATTTCTAGCTAGGAGGTCACATAATGCAACAAAAAAGTGCTATTGTGGGATAAGTAATAATTTGTGCAATTTCTAACAAGTATAAACAATTGCTTAAGTGAAACAAAGCTGGGTGGAAGAGCTGGGAAGTAGCCAAAGCAGTTGTACAAGACAGAAAGTGTTGGTCAGACAGCGTGGAGGCCTTATGCGTCTACTGTCGGGATGAGACTTTATGATAAACAATAACTATTATTTTAAGCAATTATTGCCTAAAATAATAGTTCTTCGTTTCACACCAAAATTAGAAATTTGAAGAGCTCTGCATGATGTTTCCGAAACAAAATAACCTTAAATCAGCATTGAAACCTTTTATGAATTATGTGATTGGCTGCAATTTGAGATCAATTATACAAAACAGTACTATCGAATGACATCAGAGGCCCTGTGTAATACTTGTCTTACACTTCAATTATTTCTTTTCCAAAATGCTTCACACCGAAAAAAAATACAAAACATGGCATTACACCATTACGGCCTGCGTAATTAAAGTTCTGTAACAATCTATTTTTAAGTTCATTCATTAGTAAAGGCAAATAATTTGTAGCTACCTGTCAGCAACTTCTCTTGTTACCCACGCATCATGGTTGCTCAAACTTGTTAGCAAGGAAAGTACCTCCTAAAAATAAAAAGAATGACATGTATTGAATATTTAAATCTGCAGCTTCCTTGTCATCTTTGCAAGAAATAACGTGAAAACGATCTGAAATTTATTACGCTGCAAGCATTGAACATTAAGGACAACAAATCCCTGCATGGATTTAGATGAGGGGAAAGTAATAATTATGGACCCTGTAAGAGACTACTACCTCCCTAAAAGAGACAGCCAAAGAACTGATTCCTCCATGTACTGATCATTCAGTGGCTTACTTTAAATAGCACTCAGTATATGCAAAAAGGATTTAGTAGTAGAACATTTGTTGTCGTCATTTCGCTGTTCTTGAAGATTCATTTGATTTTCAGTGTCTCAGTATTTTCTAACACTTCAAGTTTATTCACCATTCACGCACCGAAATCGGGCTTGCCTGTTTTCACTTCTACATCAAAAGCGTTAACAGAATGATAAACAGAATGATTCGACTAGCGTGAATTGTCTCTGGGTCTTCGGTTTCTATATCTCAATTCTTCTCTTCATGTCAACTGCTAGCTCAAAACTGAATTTTAAACATGGCGCTCGAATGCAAAAGTACCCTTCAGGGAATTTAGGGAATGCATTGCTATCGGCAACAGATATAATTTATAACAACATTCATAGACTGCATGTACTTCCTTGTTTATCATTCCAGTTCACTTTAATGATCATACTTAACTGATAACCAAGAGAACACTAATAGAAGTAGCATTGTCTAAGTTTGGCACCTTCAGGCCCCAGTTGTTGAAAAGGTGGATAACGCTATCCACCAGATAAGTCTCTATCTAACAGATAGTGCAATATTAGTGTCCTGGCTGGTACTTATTCTCTGAATAGCGATTTATCTGGTGGATAGTGTATCCAGCTTTTAAACAACTGGGGCTAGGAGCTTATAGAAATATTGTCTGGTAAAGAAAGGTAACAACAAGACATGGTTCAATAATTATTGCATTGAGACAGATTATGGTGTCTAGAGATGACTCACTCCTCCAGAACAGGCTCTACATGGAAACACCAGTGCCGAAAAGCAGCTTATACTAATAACTTATACCAGTTGTCTGTTGGTTGATACATTATAAATAACTTATTTACAGTATAATTTTAGCCATTTATTCCAGTGGCTAGAGTGCCAGAGTGAACTCTTCCCAGATTAAGGTAAGCCACTGATCTACATGACCAGCAATCTGACCAGACTCACATTTCCTCCATACCAAAATTAAAGATAATATGCCCCATTTTACATTGCAAATGGCTTTTTTTATATATTGTTTTTAATTCCACTGCTAAATCTCACTGAATTATTGATTTCCACTCATAATACTTTGATCATGTAGACATAAAAATTATTTCCCCTAAGGCAATCTTTTCAGAACAGAGAGGCAATAAAATTTTCTACAGGAAAACAATCAGAAAATTTAAACATTTTCGGTAGAAAACATGTTTCAAGAAAATAATGTACAAAACAGTGACAGAATGATAAAAGCTGACTTCTAAGTTTACAAGTACTAAGATTTGAGCA